CTTGGCGAACTGAATTGAGCTGAGCTGAGGGGGAGGGGTTGGGGTGGTGAGGAAGGGTCAAGAGAAACATCAGGGAAACACATTCCCAATACCTTGTGCTCTGTCATCAGATGAAGAAGAGATGAGTCCCTGCACCACGACCAGCAACAGAGTGTGTCAGTGCAAACCAGGAAGTTTCCGGAATGGCAATTCCACTGAGATGTGTCGGAAGTGCAGCACAGGGTGAGACAGCAGCCAAGGGGCTCCCGACAGCTGTCAGGAACCTGAGAAGATCTGAGTCACCTGGTACCCCTATGTCTCCGCTTACCCCGTGGAGCCTCCAGCCCCATGAGGCATCCCTGAGCCTTTGGGGTCTCTTGAGCCTGCAGTGGCCCTTCCTGGTCCATCTGCCTGTCCCCACCGCTACCCCCTGCAGCAGCCCCTACCCACCCCTCCCTCCCCAGCACGAGTCCCTTTGGCCAGGCTAAATTGTTCCTTGGGCACAGGAGGTGACTTTCTAGGTCCCTTGAACCTTTTCAGGGGATCTAGGAAATGGGATTTCCTTTGAAATCAGAAGAAACACTTGATCCAGTGTGGCTTGTATTTGTCCTTATTCCAAATTGGTTTAAGAAATGTAATGTTTCATATTTTTTATGCAGGCGGGGACCCATGAAGGAAAAAGTGCCTGTAGCTCACAAAAATCATACTAAGGCTGTGGGTGGAGCTCCCTTAAGTTCCCATGAGGACCTGAGCCCACCCCGCCGTCCTCACTCCTGGCCCCTGACTTCTCAATAAGTCCTTCTTTTTCCTATTTGGGTTTTAGGGGCAAAGAGTAACTTGCTCTTCTCTGGCCCTCCACTGTTTGCTGTGATTGGGAGGACCCAGCAGCAGACAGGGTGGGGCGAGGGCTCACTCGTACTGTGGGTTAACTGGAGGAAGGGGCTCAGCTTGTGGCCACAGGGGCTTGTGATCTTCCCCTGGAGTGTGGCTCCTCCTAACGCAGCCTCCCCTGCATCCCAGGGAAGCTCCGTGTGTGCCCAGCACAGAAGGCTCCTGGAGCTGCAGCTCTGACCCCAGAGCAGGGAGGCCGAGGGGCTGAAGTGCGCATGCTCAGACCCTTCCCCAGCCTCAAGAAGGGAGCATAGGGGGACCCTCTGCAGACACGAGGAGCCTGTCCTTCTGTGACATCTTCTCAAGGACATTGGGCAGGGAGGGTGGCTCCTCTTTCATCTCACCTGGCCAGCTTTCCATCAGGAGTCCCCGTCTCCGTCCCTGTGTGTACCCAGGTGTCCCAGAGGGAGGATCAAGGTCAGTGATTGTATGCCCTGCAGTGCATCAGCTGCCAGTTCCACTGAGAAAACCGCAGCGGTGGAGGAGACAGTGACCACCAGCCTGGGGACTCCTGCCCTTTACGGTCTCATAGCCGGCGTCGTTACAGTCTTCATCATTCTGTTTGCGGCTGCGTTTGTTTACATTTTACGTCGGAAGAAACTCATTTCTTCACCGAAAGGCATCTGCTCAGGTAGGTGCTGGCTGAGGGTGGGGGCGCTGGACACTGTCTGCCCTGCCCCCTCCCACTCCGTTCCCACAGACAGTAATCCCCATCCCTGCCCCTGGTCCAAGTGTCTCCAGCCTGGCTCAATCTTCCTCCTTGTGATCGCCCCATCCCCACATCCCGTGTATCCCCCAGGACCCTGGTCTCATCGCTTCTCTCAGGGCTGGGGGTCCCCTCATCTCCCAGCCAAGTGTAGGAGGGCAGGCCCAGTTCCTCCCACCTTCAGGCCCAGCCAGGCAGGGGGCAGTCGGCTCCTCAACTGGGTGACAAGGGTCAGGATGAGAAGTGGTTGTGGGATTTATTCAGCCTTGGTCAGAGCAGAACATAGAGATTTTCCATGTGTTGGTTTTTACTCTAGTTCCCCTTCTCATCCCCCTTCCTCAGGGTGTCCCCGAATTGCAAGGCCCTATTCCTGTTCCCAGCCCCAGGGCTCCTTGTCCAGTGTCCCTGCCCCAAACCTACCCCTGTGCCCCGCTGTCCTCTGGGAGGGAGGTGCTGTGTGGGCCCCTCCCTGCCTGCTAAGGAGACTCTTTCTCTTCCAGGTAGTGGAGGGGACCCCGAACGTGTGCACAGAGTAAGTTGGTTTCTCCAGAAAGTGGGGGCTTCATGGGTTCAGGAACTGCTTCCCGTCCACTGGCGAGCCCGGGTGGACACAATTCCTTGTCCTCATAGCTGCCCTGACTCTCTGACGTGGCCTGGGGTATCTGGGCTGACTGTGGGGGACACATGGCCATTTTGAGCAGCACACAGACTGGCGGGCCGTGCTGCAGCCCCGTCCTTCCTGCAGCCTGGGTGACACCATCACTCCACAACTGGCCCCGTGGGGATGGGGTGCCCACCTGACCCACCTCCGCAGTGGGTCCTGGATGTGCTGAGCCTCAGCTGCCTGGGGTGACCTCATTGGGAGGGATTGGGGATGGCAGGTCCAGCTGCCAACTGGGGACCTTGAAGCTGAGCCCTGGGTGTGG